CGGAACCTCCTTTCCCAGTTTTGCCACCCACCACACGTACAGCCCTGGCCTAGCCCCCTTGCTGGAAAAAGGCTGGCACAGCCCTGCAGCAGGCAGCTCGCCCTCACCCTGCCCATAGATCGGGGGGCACATGCCTCCCCTGGGGTGTGTGCCGTAGCAGAGAGCTGCCCCTCCGCTTCCTACCTTCCCTGGATGAGCCACCTATGGCTTTATCCTATGCCCTGCCCTGCCCCTGTGCCAGCCTCACTCCCTACCACACCATGGGGGCCTCGTTCTGCCCCCTCCACATCTCTTCCCCACCACAGACTTATCGGACAGATTCTGGCCTTCAAACTAGGATTTTGGGGACTAATACTGATAGCAGATTTTTAAGGAGGCATACTGGCTGATACCCATCTGATTTCTGATACAGCTACATGGAACTGGTAAGTCTGTTATGGTGGAATGGGAGAGGGGAGGGAAAGGGTGTGGAGGGGCAGATCAATGCCCCCTGTGATGAGGGACAGAATGGGACAGGGGTAGAGGCTTTCCAGGTGGGGCGGGCATGGGACAGAGCCGAGGCTTGTCTGGGTGGGGTGGCTCCCACCACTGTGCACTGCTCTTCTGGGGGGGCAGGAGGGGTGCCCCCGATCTGTGTGGAGCGGGCAGCAGCTGTGGGCTGGGGCAGTGCTGGGAGAGGGCTACAGCAAAATTTGGGGTGGCTGCAGCCCCCCCTGCCCTCCTGGACAAGTGGTGCACAGTGGTGGGAGGCACCTGCCCCAGCCCTACTCCCTCCCTCACTGTGGGTGGGGGGCATTGATCTGCCCCCCTATGCCCCTTCCCTCACCTTCCACCTCAAGAGACTTACCAGCTGGAGGTAGCTCTCCAGGCTGTCGAACTGTGCTCCTCGCTGCCTGCATGCTGCACTGCAGCTGCGCACATGCATGGGCATTTATTGGCCACTTCAGTCTGATTTCCAATATAGTCAATTTTCTTTATATTGGTGTCAATCTGATATCAGACCGATGCATCAGTGTACCTCTACTTCAAACTGCCAGCCTACATATTGGCAGTTTGACTGGTATCAGCTGATGTCTGGTTAATAATCAGCCATTGATATCGGACAAAAAATCTTTATCCGTGCACCCTTATAAATTAAAAAAATAATGAAATTGTGGGACTCATAGGTGCTACTGCTCATCTTGTTTAATTGCACTCCCATCTGTAACTTCTCACAGTGGAGAGGTGCTGTTGTTTAGACACCTCTTCCTTTTTCCCTTCATTTTCCCTTCCTAGAGCTGAAAACTTCTTGACTTGGAGCCATTTCCAGAATTTAGGTCTTCTCCCATTAGTTCTATCTGTGCCATTACACCACTCTGTATTTAAATATTCAGTGAGCTTTTGGATCACTTCTGCAAAGATGGCTTATTTAAAGCATGCTTTCCCAACTTCGAGACTTAAAATACTAGTTTTGCTTCAGCTTAGGTATTTGCTTGTAGCAATGCCCTTTAATGACAAACTTCAAGTGCTCCTATCTTGTAGGAAATCAAAAATCCAGAACTCTTGATTCAGAACCAAAAGTTCTAGATTTTTGCATTTCTTTTAGTCTCAGACCAACATGGCTGCCAAATACATCCCTATCTGGTAGAGGCTTTCAGTTGGCATAGGCAGCTCTCTGCCTTTCCAGGTGGTAAGCACTAAGTTGGCTGTTTTAGTTTTGGGCTAGGTCTAGTCGCTTAAAAGTTAATGTTGCCTGACATACAAATTTAATTAAATTAATTCTATTGCGTTTCAGATTTTGAACTTTTCCCCAATGTTGAGGCACATCTCAAGAATACTTTTTTTTCCAACTGAGGCAATTCTAACTTCTCTGAGCATAGTTGTGCCTCCAACCTTTTGTAAAAGTGATAGAATTCTTAATTCCTTCCTCAAAATGAAGTAACTTTTATGTATATTTTTAGCCTCACTTGCTCTTACATAAATGGGGATCACCACTATTTTGGCACACGTTCCTTTACACGTCATTATAATACTAGCCAATTGCCCTTCAAGAATGATGGGGGGTGGAGGGGGCTGGGATGGAGTGCTGCCACCTAATGCCCCATGCTGCCACTATTCCCTCTTGCAGGGAGTGGGGTGGAGGAGCCCTGCAAGAGGCCCTCCCTCTGTCTGGTCCTCAGCACAGCTTTGAAATCATGGCAGCGCTCCCCACCATGCTTGGAGCACTCTGATTGGCTGTTTCCATCAGCCAGTCAGAGTGCGAATAAAGTGTGACAAACAGACTTAGACTTTTATAATATTAGAATGGAAATTGGTGAAAAAGCAGCTTTGGGGCAGAGGCAAGAGTAAAATTCAGTTCTCCAAGGCAGTACTCAGTAGTCTTAACTGTAAAACACTCTTTTTCAGTACAGTCCAATCTCTGCAACAAATAAAGCAGGATTCTTATAGATAACTGCCTCTTACTACACAACACTGATTAATCTCTGGTCTGCAGAAACTGAGGCCAGGTCTGTGAAACATGTAGTTGTTGAAATTGAAGATTGATTGAACAAGGGGATTGAATTTGGATTGTGCATCACATAATTCTGGTAGTTCAAAACCTTTGAGTGCTTGATTTTCAACATTAATGTTCTTGTAAGCATTGTCCTTTATATGTATTTTTATTTCTTTAAAAAAACACTAATAGGGAAACAAGAGCCATATTGAAACCACATGGTTCATTAATAGAACTGAAACCTTTGGATCCATCACTTAATGCTTTTTTTAAAAGTAACTCAATTAAATAGTCTGTTGTAAGTCTTTGGACCAGTGCAGAGGATAGGATACTGTCTCAATGAGTTTCATAAATTTGCTGGCAGTAGAGAAGTACCAAAATTTGGTAATCTTCATTTCCATTCCAGCCTCTCAGCAACTCCCTTTTGCCCCATCTCTTCCATTTGGTGATAGTCCTGTCTTTTCTCTTATGGTATTATGTCTTGGTCCTATTCTCCCAGCTGAACTGGGTCCACTCCTTTTGTTTCTCTTCCCAGCAGTCTCTGTTCTGGTGATATTAATGGCCCTGCCACCAAATTTCCTGACCCATGGTGAAGCCCACAGGCCAGATGCAATAGTTCTGTGAACTGTATTTGGTCCATGAGCTGGAGGTTGAGCACCCCTAATTTAGATGGTCCTCTCCCCAAGCCCAAGTATTTTCTGCTTCGTTCACTAGCTCCTAGTGAAACTTTCCAGTTTCCATCTCCCCCTCTGCTCATTCCTTCATTCAGAATGGACTTCTTTATCCTTCATGTTTGTGCACAACTAAGGTTAGGGGACATTATTGAGAGGACAGGGGAATCAGGTTTCCCACTCAGGTCTGGTGTTTGAACCCACTTGAACACAGAGAAGTCATCAGCTAGGGTTGGAGCATACTTATTTGCTTAGTGGTACTGGAAGTTGAAAGGGGAAGGAGCACGCTCTGAGGATGGATTTTAGGAAATGTACCTATTAAAATAGCATAATTTGTATTGCAGCTTTGCAGTTGCATTGTTAGAATAATAGTTAACCATGCAAATCGTTTGGCACTCCTTTTGGTAAGAGGCAAAGTATTAGTTGTGCCATTTTTTTTTAAACTACTGCATTCTGAAGACAATAATTAATTAATCTACACTCTCCTCTAAAACAATTAAGTGTAATCTTGTTAAGTTTCTTTCTCACGTTTTTACTTTTTGCTGACTAGAAAAGTAACAATCTTTCCCCGCTTAAATTAATCACTCCTTTCCTATCTCCCTCCACCACCCTTCCCTCATATCTCAGACAGGCATAGCTCCCATACATTACTTTTCCTTTGGCTAGAAGGGAAGGGACTTTTATCCTCTACACCTTGTTGTGCCAAGAGCCCTTTATTACACCTAGAGCTATCAACACTAGTTTGTTTCATGCTGAGTAGTGTCCAAGTGCTCCCTAACTGAGGGAGCGAGGGAGATAAGTAAACCAACCTATGCCGTCTCGCTGTTCTGATTTACCTTTCCACTTGAAAAATAAGTCTCCTTTAGTTTTAATCTTTTCAGCCCTACTTGGGAATGTCTTTATCCATAGTTTCAAAGCCCCAGTATGAAAGTAGCTGACTTTTGTCAGTTCCTTTGTGATGGGCTCATCAGTATAAAGATTTGGGGTGC